CCGATCTGGTCATTCTCGTTAGGGGAACCGGCTCTGGCTTCTAGGCTTGTTCTTGTCGGGAGGTAAACAATTGCATTTTTCTTTGTATTTCGGGCTGGGTAGGTGAATCAACACTCGGGCCTTCCTTCATAGGGAACCAATGGGAATCAGGCCCAAGGTCCCAGCTGGGCTCCAGAATGGGCTCTTGATGCCTGTGACCCCACCCAACATCCGTGCGCTGATTTGCTTGGTGGGAGGGTATCAAGCTTGGCTTGCCGGTGCACCCTGCTCCTGGATCCCCACCCTTGGGAGGATTATCAGGCGCACGGCCGTTGGAGAGGACCAAATCCTCTAGGAGGTGGGGTATGGGCCAAGCAGTTTCCTTGTTGATTGCCATGTTCGTAGAATTCTGGCCTAAATAAGAACGTAGGCTGAACCTCATTCTTGGCCCACCGACAGAGCCGAGCGGGAATACTAACTAGGGCAAGGCTATTAACTGGGACGTTGCCTACAATTTACCTAACAGATTTTTCATTTCTGTCTCCGTCTCTCTGATGTAGTACTTAATATATTGGTATGATAATATATGTATGACCAATTTCTTCATATAAATAGTGTGCATACACCAAGAGGATTAATTTTCCCGTTGGTGTTCTTGCCTGTAGGATGCTCGAGTTTGAACTAAACATGTATCTAGCAAGATTGTATCTCCACTCGCCAGGCTCGAAGTATCCAACCTGTTCAGGTTAGAACAGTGCCAGTAGTAAGCTCAAATAGTTTCGTCGTTGCAAGAAATTCTCGTGTCCATTTTCCTGGAGATACTGTTGGGGATGCTAGCAGGTTTTCTAACATACTTCACTGTTCAAGAAATGACTGTTAACATAATTTCCTGGCTCTAGAGGAATAGGGAGTGGGAGCTGAAAGTTGGAATGTGCATACTCTCGTTTCGTTACGGTCTCCCAATGTGTGGTTCACAGGGACGACCTTCCCTATGTCACACACACGCTCTGAGGCGGGCTCTTTTCTGCTCGTACCAGCTTTTATTTGCGGGATGTTCTTTTTTTAAGTGTGGCGAGGAAATCTGTAAACTTGGACTCCATAG